AAACTTATTGAGATATTTCTATTATATAGAAATAATTATTTAATATTTATATAGAATAATTAAATACTTCTAAGCCAAATGGCAGAAGCTTAAAGAGTAAAGAGTAAAAAGTGAATTTTCATTGAATTCTTGTTGATTTTTTGTTATAAATAAAATGAATATATTGTTAAATAACTATAAGCATAACATATGGTAGAACTTCATGTATTTTATTAAATATTTCTATATCAAATGGCAAAAGCTTAAAGCGAAGTATGTTTTTATGCAATTTCGTTTTAGTTTTTGCCCCAAAAATTCCAATTTTTATATTTTACTTTTGAATAAAAAATCAATGAGTAAATTTTTATATTAAAATTATAAAAAAGGCGCAAAAAATCACAGAAAGTTGTATAACTTTTTCAATTCACATTAAATTTCATTTAAATAAAAACTTTAATAGAAAACATTAAAAACTTGAAGTAAAAATCGCATTTGCTCATAAAAAAAAACAGTTGGAAAACACTTGAAAATATATAAAAATAAAATATTGAAATATAATATATTTAAGTAAATTTATTAAATACTTCAAATTATGCAGAAGAACGTTTCGACATCTTTCTTCTAATAGCACAGCGTATGCATTAGTCGAGCATAGCCTATTGTCTAGCGTGCATTTCGGTGCTTAATTTTCAGTCAGCAAAAATCACGAAAATCATGAAAATCGACAAACAGTTTTTTTCGCTTCTTCGCCTTTTTTTTCGCTTGGTCAAATGAGAGCAGCTTCTTTTTACCAATTTAATGGGTCAAGTTTATAGATTGCATTGCGACCGGGTTTTCAATTTTTTCATTGCTTTTCGAATTTGGGTTTAGCGAATCGAAAATACGGAAATGATTTTCGTTGGCTGTGCGCGCTAGTTATATATATATATATATATATATATATATATATATGGGTAGATCTATATATATATATATATCTGATATTATCATTTTTGTTAATCTGGCAATTTGTTGTTGACGTTTTCGATGGCTTTACGAATTGGTGCCAATTTATATATCTATATATGGCGCGTGTACTTGAAAGCCAAAGAAGTTAGCACAGAGAGACAGATAGCGAGAGAGAGAGGGAGAGAGGGAGAGAGTTAGCGCAATTTGGACAGCTGTCGATGTTGCTGCTGCTGCTGCTGCTTTTGTTGTTGTTGTTGTTGTTCTTGTTGTTGTTGTTCTTGTTAACTTGGTTTTATTTGCTTTCTGCTGTCTGTTAATTATTTAATGAACTTCTATTTTTGGCCTTACAAATGAATATGTTTAGCTGATGTCTCTGTCTCGGCTCGGCTCGACTCGACTCGACTCGGCTCGGATCGGCTCGTTATTTATGATTACACAATTTGGCTTGTCAATGATATTTATGGGCCCAGATTTTCGTCTACTTATGGCAACTCGAGCGCTCTTATCGCTGATAAGCCCAAAAAGTAAGCTAAGATCTTGTTCAATTTGCCGATGAGATCACTTCATACACACACACACACACATACACACACATGCTGAGCGCACTTCCAACTCCTACTTCAACTCACAGCTCATCATTACAGATCACACTTCAAATCGATCTGTGTCTAATTGCCTTATACAGCTCATATACCTGTACACACACCTTGGTATATGTATACTTCTTGTTGTTCTTCTTCTTTGGCAAGTTACTTAGTTTTTGCCTTGATGTTTTTTCTCATTTTATTATTGTTTTTACTTTTTATTTTTCACCCAGCTGCCATTAATAACAAATCAAATGCTCGTTAAGCGCGCTCGCTGCGCTCCAAAATTCTGCGAATCGATCGAAAAACTAACAAAAAAACGCCAAGAAGAAGAACAGATTTTCAAAAACAATTTCGTATACTCTTTGAGCAAGAGAAAAGGCATTCAAGATTGAAATTAATTTTAATGAAAAGCTTGAATTCGCTTAGGTTAAATATAATTAAAACAGAAATGGGATATTTTTTAAAGTTTTCAAAATATTCATAAAATATTTTCAGCTAAATTATATAACAAATATTTAAGTTATTTGTTTTTAAAAAGTTTATATAAAAATATTTAAAAAATATTTTTCGGTTTCAATTGAGCAAATTTTTATAAATATCTAAAATATAATAATATCTAAAATATTTAAATAATTATAAAATATTAAATTTTGTATAAGTTATTGAAAAATATATTTCAATTTATATTTTTATGCATTTTTATGTAAAAAAAACATAAAAATAAAAATAAAAACAAATTTAAAATTTTTTTTTTTTTTTGGGGTTTTCACTTTTTGTACTTTGAGATACTTTGCGTGTATCTTGAGATACTGGTATCTGGGCAGCTTTAGAACTATAGTCAATAGATAGTTTTTGCTCTATGCAACACTAGGCAATTCTTGCCACAAACGGGGCGTGGCAGCCAATTGGTTTTGCTTATTTAAGTTTTATTGATTGCGCCTCGCTGCTGCACTAATTGCAGATCGCATAGATCAACATGGATCGAGCAGATGCGGACATGGACAGCATATATTTGAGATATATATGTATCAGATTTATAAATATATATATATATGGTGGGATGTGTGTTCACAAATATTTGCATTTGTATTCAATTTCATGCAAGCATGCAAAAAAAGGAGAAAAAAAGTTGCAAATTCCGACGGCAAAACATTTGGACATAAAAACTGATATGAACAGTTAGGCTTATATATAGAGTTCCACAGAGGTATATATATGGGCATTAACTAGTTAACTAATGTGTCTAGTCATATGCTATATTCTTTATATAAGTATCTACATATATATATGCAACGATTTAGCGACTCTCGTCGCCGTCAATGTAAATTAATTGCAAAGTTATTTTCTAAGAATTTCTTTGGCTGCTGCTGCTGCTGCATCTACTTGTTGTTGCATTCTGCGAATGTTGTGTGTGTGTGGAGTCATAATGCTTGCAACATTTGCAACTGCAGCTGGCTTAAGATTTTTATTCGATTTCTTGCAGCATCCAATTAGAAGGCAGACAAACTCCAATTAAGCTATAGATATAGCTATATAGATAGATATAGATAGCTAGATAGATAGATGTATAGATATATACTTATACATATGCATATACATATATATTAATATATATATTTATGTCTACATATATATATGTCTGGCTGTCTCCGCTGTCTGCAATTGAAGCCAACTTGTTGTTGTCTCGCTGGAGTTGCAAAGTTTTGGCATTTGGCCAAAAATTTGTCGTCTGGCTGCAATTCATAATCAGCATCAACATCATCATCATCATGATGCTGATGATGTTGAAGATGCTGCTGATCGACACTGCTGTGTGTGCGAGTGTGTGTGTTGGTCATTAGCAGCGATCAGCTAAAGTTCGTTTTAAGAAGAGAAAAAAACAATTCAAGCCGAAAATTGTTATTGTTGTTGCCTTTGTTGTTGTTGTTGTTACATTTTGTAAACAAATTTTCAGAAATCAATAAAAAAAACAATTGGCACAGACACGCAAACTCAATTAGTTGCAGATGAATTGCACAAACACAAAGCGCAAAAACAAATGAAAAATGAAAAATGGAAAATGCAAAATGAAAATTGCATTGCTAATAATTTTCATATTGTTTGTTTAGTTTACAGTTAAGTGTGGGAGTTTTGCAAGTCTTTAACATATTCGCTTCGTTTCTTGTCTCAGGTGTCAATTGCGTCACAGGTGGTTAAAAGAACCTAACGGGTTTGGCCTTTAATCCAATTAATTAATAAGCGCATTATCAAATTCGAATTAAGAAATATTTCTAAAATATTTCTGAAATATTTATTTATCTAAATAAATATTTAATAAAATAATTAATTAATATTTCAAACACTAATTTAATTTAATTTATTTATATATTATTTATAATTTCAATTCATTTGATATACATACAAATTATTTTAATTTTAATTTGAAAATAAATTATGCTTCATTTAGCTCGTAGGACTTTTAATTCTGTTACATTAAATTAATAAACAATACATTTTATTTCTATAAGTATTTGTTCTTTATATAAATAAATATGTATATATTTTATTTTGTGCTTTTATTAATTATTTTACTTTCTATGCCAAAAACTATCAAAATTCAAATTCAAAAAGAAAAATTTAAGCGGAAAATGACACGAAATTAATTAAATAAAATAATAAATAATAATAAATAAATTAAATAAAAATAAACAACGAAATAATTTATAAAATATTAAGTTAAGTTAATAAAATAAAAAACTAATACTTTTTTAATTATTATTAAATAAATATTGTCATTAAATTAATTATAAATGATTAAATAAATATCCAATAATAAATGTAATATAATAAATTAAATTAAATTAAGTAGAGCATAATATATGAAATAAAATTTAAAACAAAAACAAAATATTATTAAGTTTTAAATCTTAAATATAAATAAGTTAAACTAAACTAAAATGTTTTATTACAACAAAACTATTTGAATACTTCCAAGATGTCTATGAAATATTCGCTGATAACTTTCATAGGCTTGGGGAAGAACTTTGTGGCCTATCGAAGGTAAACTCTAGAGAAATCCCCAGTTGCATATGAATATTTGATATATACATCTAGTGTATAATACTTCACTCCATTAAAGGCTTAGCTTGATTGGCACTTTGCTTAGTGAGTTTTCCAACACTGAATTGCCTACAAGACACATATATATGAACAGTTAATAGCTGTATATATATATACATGTATTTAGAGATCTGTTAAGCTCAAACTGAGCACTTGACAACACTGCTTAGCCCAGCTGCTGCATGGAGAATCAGCTGTAATTGCTATCATATATGCGTAGATCCCGATGCTATATGCCATAGCCCCTATACCAAGATCTCTATGGATCCCACTCTCTATCTCTATCTCTCTCGATCGCACTTGGGCACTTTGAACACTTGACGCTTTGCAACACTGAACACGCCTTAGAATTGTAAATCACTGCAGGTGTTTTTAGCTCCGACTTACCTGTTGCCAAAATTGTGCCAATAAATAAATTTGCTCCTTTTTGAAAAACCAATCGTTGATTGATTGAACAGCCGTCAGATCCATATCGGCTGTCCCAGCGGCTTGTGGCAATGTTGGCTGCATTCGTGGGCTGTCTGTTTGAATTGTTGTTTGTTTGTTGTGTTGTTTTGTTGTTTACTATTGTTGTTGCTGCTGTTGCTGCTGCTGTGGCGCCGTTAGCTGCGGCGTTTGTCGAGGCATCGAGAGACGGACTTCGAGCAGCCTTGCAACAGCGAAATCAAAAAAAAATTGTTTTCTTTTTGCTCGCTTTTGGTTAGTATTATTAACTAATTTGTTGTGGTTGTTAGTTTCGAGCTAAGACACAGACACACACACACACACAGAGAAACACATGCACAGACACTTGGACACAGATGTTGTTGTTGTTGTTGTTTTGCTTTTGTTTTACGTGCTCAAAAAAATTCATAAATTGATTAAAAATTTCTTGTTTAACTTTTGATTTGTTGTCGTTGTTGTTGCTGCTGTTGCATGGACTATGTTGTGCCTTAACACACAGACACACAGAGACACAGACACCTGCACACATGCACATATACACGCGCGCTTTTGTTGTTGTTGTTGTTGCAACAATTTGCGTCGGCTTTAACAAAATGTTGCCATTTGTGTTGTGTGTTGCATTCAAAGTTAAAGCCAAGTCAAAATTCTGATTGGATTTGGTTGACTTTGCAGTTGTTGTTGCTGTTGCTGCTGTTGCTGTTGCATGTTGCTGCTGCTGCTGCTGTTGCTCTTGCTGTTGCTGCTGTTGTTGCTGTTGTTGATGTTGTTGTTGTTGTCGTTTCACTCTGTTGTTGTTTACACTGAACACACGCGCACACTTTTCCTTATTTATTTATTTATTACTTTCTTTCTAAATAATATATATATTAATTTATATATATTTTTATTGTGTATTTTTGCTCGATTCTGATTTGTTGTCAAAAAAAAAAATAGCTTAAAAAAATTTGTTTTGATGTGCAACTGAAGAGCAGTTAGATTGATGCTGCTGCTTGCATTTGTTGTTTGTTGTTTGTTGTTGTTTATAAATAAAATGTAGCTTTGCTTTGTAACTGTTTCGCTGGGTGTTGTTGCTGTTGTTGTTGTGGCTGTTGTGATTCGTGTTTCGTGATTCGCTGTTCGCAATTGGTTCGATGAGCTGCTTAAGAACTCAGTTACAGTTACAACTCAGTCAACAGTCAGTCCACACAAACAACAAACACACACTCGGACACTGGCGGCGGCACACACAGAGGCGACGTTGCCAGTCACGAATTCAGTTGATGACTGAACAACAGTGGACGAGTCGCAGCGTCGACAACCCCGAAAAAACAAAAACGAAAACGAACAAATAAAAAAAAATAGAAGCCATGCACACGATGTTTGTCGGTTAGCGGCGAACACGAACCGTCGCCGTCGCTGTCGCCACACGAGCCGAACGGGCTAACGAACGTTTGCACTCGAAGAGACGGCGCGAGTGAGCGAGTGAGCGAGAACGAGAGAGGGCGAGCACAGAGAGTGGAGAGAGAGTCACTCAATTGATGTTATGCCTCCCGCCTGGCAGTCTGCACGCTTTTGATTTCTTTCAATAGGTTTTTGATTTTCGTTTGTGTTTTGCTTGGTTGGGGCTGCTGAGCATTTTTGTGCGCCGTCGCTGTCGCCGGCGTTGACGCTCGCTCACATACGACGCGTATTACAACAACTTGTGCGCTCAGCTCAGCGTTCGTTCTGTTTACTTTTTGCTTGGTTTTTTTTTCGTTTCGTTTCGTGTCGTTTTTTTTTTCTGCTGCCTTCTGATAACTTCTGTCAGTTGCATGTATTGAAATTCATTCATTCAAACCAACGGCTTGTTTATCTCTCTCGCTCTCACTCAGTTATACGCGCTCTCTCGCTCACTCATGCTCTCGCTCTATCGTGCTGCATGCATATGTGGTGCCTGTGGCTTGGCATTCAATTTGTAGCAGCGACGCCGACGTTGCTGCCGCTGCCGCTGCTGCTCCTGGTGCTTGGGCCTGCGTCGCCTTTTTTCTGATTGGGAAAAACTTATAGGAAAATGTTGCGCTCACATTGCGCTCCTTTTGCTCGTGTTTGTGTTTATTGAGCCACACATTGAGTGCAAACTCTGAGTGAGTGTGTGAGAGTTAACGAGAGCGAGTGAGGGGAAGTCTTACCGGCTTCGCTTACATTTCGCGTCTTCTTGCTTATGAATTAAGTCGCTATTGCTATACATTTTTGTGCTTTTTGTTTTATTATTTATTTCTCTGCTTGTTGTTACTTTTGTTTTGCACAGCTTAAGCTGCGGATCCTTCTGGCTCAAATTATTATTGTGTCTGGCTTCTGAGGCTGCGAATGTGTATGTGCGTCTGTGTGTGCGTGTTTTTACACATTGAGTGGCCTGCCAAAGGTCAAGCAGAGTAAGTTTCTGACTAAAGAGAGAAGAGTACGGGAGGGTGTATTAGATAGTAGAAGTGGGAGGAGTCTCACCTGTAACATAGGTAAGAGCGCAAACCAAATGAACTTAAGATTAACAGCTTAAGGAATTTTCTTCAAATAAATTAGCAAAATTCAAAATTAAAGATAGATGTAAATAAATATTTAAGGAAACCCCGTTTGTTAATAGAGACTCTGTAGTTAAAATCCATATCAATAAATTGCAGAAAAAGTTCTAACTTAAGTTTTCCTTATTAATAAATAAGAGTTTGAGCTGGAGTTTCAGCTATGACCCATCCCTATGTAACGCTCAAGCACTTCACACACACACGCACACACATACAGAAGCGTACAATCCGTTAGGGCATGAAGCGAACCGCTGCTCGGTTCGACTTGCACATAAAGAAAAAGTTCAAATTGTATCGAAGTGCAATGCAGCAGCAGAGAAAGAAGCAGCGGAAGACGTAAGGAGGAGAATAAGAGGAAGTAACAGTAGCAGTAGCAGCCGAGCTGCAGCGACGACCACGATGGCAACCTTAACCCAGCGCTGAATGGGCGATGGTATAAGAAAAAGGAGGAGAGGGAGAAGAGGAGGGCAGGGTGAATGCGCACCTAATGCAAAACAGAGAGCAACGGCAACGGCAGCGGCAGCGGCAGTGGCAGCAGCAGCAGCAGCCGCCAAGTGCGTTGCAGCGTACGAGAGACGCGTCGTCGTGCACAGAGGCTGAGCCGAGTGAGAAAGCGAGAAAGAGCGAGAGCAAGAGGAGTGTGTTGGCAAGAGTATGAGCGCAGGCTGCAGCCACCTACACGAAAGCTCGGAGCCGCTGCTCGTGCCGGCGTAAGCGTCGCTGCTGCTGCTGCCGAAACTCATTTCATTTCATTTCATTGCTGTTAGATTTTTTCTCAACGCTTTGGTTTTTCTTGCTTTCAGCCAACCATTTCTTTTACAGTTGGCCATGTGTGTGTACGTGTGTGCACATGTGTATTTGTGTGTGTGTGTGTGTGTGTGTGAGCACACGCGATTGCCAAACGCTTTCTGCTGCTTTCTATTAGTCGTGCCCTCTCATTTGTTCACACAAGAGTCAAATGCTGTTGATTGACAATCGATGGATGAATGGTTGAGTTGAACTGGTCTCTGCATTGCAACCGAGCTGTGGCACTTACCGACGGGGAAATGCCAATGCCACTGGCCTGGCCGCTAACGGCAAACAAAACAAACAAGTGTTTGCTGCAACAGCAACAGCAATAGCAGCGACAGCAACTGCAGCACGCTCAATAGCTCATACCAACTCACTCAAGAGAAGTTGTCACTCAATGCGTTGAGCTCACTCGCACGTTCACTCGCAACTTGTCGGAGAAGTTTGAGTTGCAGTTGCAATCGAGCGCAGGGGCTTGCTCAGATGTTCGAAATGTTTTTCGAACTCGTTCGAATTGAGTAAGTTCATTAGTTTTTGATTGTTTTTTAGCTAAATTTATAAATCATTATATTAAATTTTCATTTTCGCTCTTTAGAAATTAATAATAAATAGTTAAGCAAAAAACCCTAACTTTTATTTTGTGAAAATAAATTATATATATTGAAATTAAATTAAGTCAAATAAAAATTTGAATATTTCAGAATATAAGTGTGTGTGTGAAAGTGAGAGAGATAGAGAGAGATAGAGTTTTAAGCCTATATATAAAATATATTTCCCATATATCAACAAAAATAGTTTCAATAGTATTTTGAAGCATTATCTTTTATAATAGGTCGAGTTCAAGGTAAAAACATTGTTAATTACTCACAGTTAAGTTTTCGGATTTGTTTTTAATGTTTTTTTATGGTTGGATTTTGAATTTTTTTCTTCTGATATTTTAAAATTTTTTTTTAGATTATTAGTTCGAACGATATAAAATTATCGATTGATTTCCCATCGACTACTTGTTGTTTATTATTTTTGACATTATTGACATATGTTCGGCTTGCAAAAGCATTCCAGAGTAGGCGACGAATTTTATTTAATTTGCGTTAAGTAAAGGAAAGAAGAGGAGAGAAGGCAAAAGTCACTCACTCAAGCGCGGTCAGTCACTCAAAAGGCTGCTCTCACACGAATGAAGCGAACGTCGCTCAATTTTCGATAATTCGCATAATAAAAACCAAAAACCAAACCAAAACACACACAGGCATAGAGAGATACAAAGCTCTGCACATAAGCGAGCGACACTTACACAAGCGCAAGTGTCACACACGGCTGCGACAGCAGCAGCAGCAGCAGCGACGGCGGCAGCAGCATCAGAAAAAGAAGCAAAACACAAAAAAATACATATATATACCATTTAAGCCCCGCCCCATTTGATTGGCGAGCTAAAGCAGACGACGACGAAGTCAATGGACACACACGTGAGACATGTGTGCGTGCTTGTTGGTGTATGTGTGCGTGCTCGTTGTGCTGCGCAGGTAGCAGCGGGCAGCGGCAGCGCCAACATCATTCATCGAATGAAGACAACGACAACGACAACGACGACGACGGCAACAGCAGCCGTAGACGCAGCATCGCAGGGCCAACAAATTTGCTGCGCTGTTGTTGTAATAAGTAAAGAAAGGAAAAAAGCAACAATATTAACAACAGCAGCAGCAGCAGCAATGGGCAGCAGTGGCATTTTATTTTATGGCAGCTCGCTCGCTCGCACCAAACGCCATTGAATTGAGCTTAAGTTGGCGCTTCGTCTCTCAGTATGTGTGCATGTGTGATGTCTCTCCAGCGATTTGCATGTGTGTGTGCGTCTGTGTGTTGCTTTTTTTCAACAGCTTTTGGCTTTGATTTCTTTTGCCTTCAAGTGTGTTTTTTCTTGCTAGTTCTTTTTGGAGCTACTTCTTACTCTCTGGCCCGCTCTCCGCTGCGCACGCGCTCAACCCACGGCTTGAGCTACGACTGAGA